ATTGGCACAGGACAGAGCGGAGTTTAGGGCTGTTGTACATAGGGTCGCTATGAGTCGCAGGCGACTCGACGGCACATAACAACAACAGCAACAATTAAAATGACGATGATGGTGGCGATAAATGGTGTGATGCTGGGGATGGTGGGGATTAATGGTGCTGATGTTGGAGATGGTGATGATTTCATTCATTTAAAAGAGGACTTGAAGACATGAAGAAGGAATCTAGAAAATGTAATTGTTGTCAACCCAGGACTGAGAAAAAGTGAGAAGGGGACACCGAGAACTGAAAGAAAGAACAGGGAGCATAAAGGAAGGCGGTGAACAGCTTGAAGACCGAAGTCCGGAAACTAGCTTCCCTGTAACTTTATTGAAAATGGCCAGGGAGCAAATCACATGGTGAATTCTACGCAAAATAGGCTCTTTCTATGATAACCTTATGCTTGTATCAGGAAGGAGGGATTTGTAAATACAATCTAGGAACAGAAAAGGTGCCCTCAGGTCTGCCTTGACGCCTGATTCCTGTGATCTGTCTCGGGAGGAATTCCAGCTTGTATTTGCACCGCCCTTGATTCTTAGTTAAGCATTTGGTTTAACATTTAGTTTAATATTTGACTTCCCACAATGAATTACTGGCAATTATTTGTCGTATATCCTTTAACTATTCTTTTTTTCTTTTTTGGGTCTCTATATAATAATGAACCTTTTTATTAAGCTCCAAAAGAAAAGATTACATCTTAGAAAATCGTAGGGGTGCAGTCTGCTGCAGGGTCCATGATGAGTCCAAATCAACTCCACAGCACAAATAACCACCTGCCCTTTTGGGCTGTGCAGCTTTTGGAACTCACAACTGAGTCTATTTTGAGTCCCTGGCTTGACTTGGAACTACTGCTGTTAGAGTTTAGAAGCAAAACACAGAGAGAGTGAGGCAGGGTGGTGAGAAGTGGTCCCAAGCCTGCTTGGCTGCGGCCCTCCTGCAATGGGAACGTATGTATCTCTGTCAAGTTTCAGTTTCCTGTCTACGCAGCAAAAGTGAAATGGAGTTCAAGAGTACATGAAATACAAGAAAAATGTGTTTTTATATAACTTCCAGAATTAAGGTTAATGAAATGTGGGGCGGAAGGATAATGACCTCCAGTGTCCCTGGGTGGTGTCAAATGTTAATATGCTCAGCTGCTAGCTGAAAGGTTGAAAGTTCAAGTCCATCCTGAGTTCAACGCACCTTAGAAAAAAGGGCTCAGTCACTGATAATCCCATGGAACACAGATCCCCACGATGCATGCGGGGTCCCCAGGAGCAGGCGCTGATTCAGTGGTGGCTGGTGCACGGTATTTAAAGGACTCCACTTCGTATTTATTGCCCAACTAGTGGTGAATGAATGTTTGTTGATCACTGAACGTTTACAGTATATTTTGGAAAGGATGTTGACTATATAGCAAGTAGGCAAACTTATGATAATTTATCACAGAGAAAGTCATTCTCATAAGACAGGTTTTCCACTTACGGGGTGAAGCATGAAAAGCAACATGGTTTTGTATGAAATTGTAAATATTTAATATATATAAATTCATTTAACTTGGCAATTATTTATTTACAATTGATTGATACCAACAACTGAGGTAAAATATACATGAGGTATAAATATTATATTAAAAGTCAATATTATATTTCATTTTCATTGGCAAGATAACAATGAATAAAATACTGTGGTATTTGACAAACAAGCTTGATGCATCTTTCTTCCCTTTATTTCTTTTCCATCTCTTTTGCTTTCAAAGATGCACTGTTATTACACAGCAATAATGCGGTTAGTATGTGCATAAAAAGTCAGGTAATTTGAAGAGAGGTGAGTCTTCACTCTGGCCAGTTGGTTCTCTGAGGTCTGCTGGAGGCCCTCACTAACACGCGTGCTTCGTGGAGCCCTGAGGCCTGTTAGAAAGGTACTCAGATCCACTCCAGACACTGAGTGAGACCTAGAAAAGTGTCCCTCCAAGAGCTCTCCTGTGAGATGGCTTCACAAGCCTCACCTGCGCTGTCGCTGTCATATTTCCCAACACGTAGAGTCCCACTGCTGGGGAATGGCCAGCGTTTCGCTTCATTAAACTTCAATTACCATTGTGCCTATAGCTTCTCTATATAAATTAAGGAAATACAGTATTTATGGTTAAATTTAGGTTAAATATTAGGCCACTAACTGAAAGATGGCTGTTTGAACCCAGCAGCCACTCCAGGGTAGAAAGGTGGCCGGCCCCTCAGAAACCCAGGGGCAGATTCCTAGGAGCGGTAACAGACGCCCGAGTAGCTGGGTTCGGTTAGGTTACATTCTTAGGTAAGTGTGAAAATGAATAACCCCTAGATCAGAACTCAAATAGTATAATTTTCTTTGTCTCATACTGAACTAATATATATCACTTTTATTCCTTTTGATAGAAAAATTGCACATAGCAGATGAGAAACAGAATTACATAAATGCATATCATAAAAAGGAATGAAAAGCCTCACTTAAGGTTTTCTTCGTCTTTCCTTGCCAAATTATATTAATCTCTGTTAGGGGTGTCCAAGCCAAAGCAAAGCAAATCTTGTCCCAGAAGCCAAAGGGAAAAAAATTATCTTTGCCTCACGAATTTTGAATTGCCATAAAGATGGAACTTAAGTCTGTAGACAATTGGCTGAGGAGAGTCTTCTGCTTTACCTGGACAGTAATAAATAAGGTTGAGTCAAATGCCTAGGAAACTCAGCCAGCAAATGAAAGAACATAGGATTAATAAGCTTTCAAAATATTATTTCAAAAGCTAATGAAATAGGGTCGCTATGAGTCGCAAACAACTCGACGGCACATAACAACAACAACAACAACAAACAGTGAAATAACATAGCTTTGGTCTTATGTTAATCAAAAGCCTTGTTGCTCGGACAGTAAGGTTTTATATTTTAAATATATCTTATGCAGCAGAATGTGAATTCCCTGAAGCTATCACGGCCTAGTCCTCTGGATAACCATTATCTCCCTTTGCCTGTATCCAGAGCGAGTTAGATCCAGTGCAACTTATTGATAAGAAAATGCCTATCGGCTGTAACCAAATAGGTCACTGATCAAATAGAGGAACATCTAAGAAAATGAAGAAAGGCATCGAGGAAGACTTTAGAAAACATAGCAGTCCTGGTGGCTGAGAGCACTTAGAGGCAATTCTATTCAGCTCCAGTCTCAGGGGAGATGCTGGCTCTGTTTCAGCCACTCGTCCTGACTCTCGTGAGTGTCTGAAGTCTGGTTGACATGGAATTTGGCTGAGCCCAGAGGCAGCTTCTGATCTGGACAACTTTGATGACCTGCTGCTTTGCTTTTAGAGTGGAGAGTACTTCTTTCCTGATTTTATCAACAGTGTCCTCTCAGGTTTTGGGTCCACACACCCAAATGTCATTTTCCTTTGGTTAGAGAATCTTTGGTTAGACCTCAGAACAGACAGGCTACATTTCCACATGTTAACAGCAAATTCTTCTCAGCTTTATATGACAGTGGGGAGATGACAGAATGAGCAACCCACAGTCAGGGTTCACTCAATCAGAGGGGTTCCTTTTCCAAGCACCCCATGCCATATAAAATAGGTATTTTACATATTTACAGTCAAGACAGAGATATACACACATATGTACATATGATATACATATACATTTATTTACAATTAAGAATATGCTTCTCAGAAGCCTTTAAATAGCAAATTAGGCAATATATGAGGAATAATCCATTTAATTTTAAGTAACATATAAATGCTCTGATTTCTTAAAAAAATATTATATTAGTAGGGATACAGCCATCTCCAGGAGGGCTCAGAAGTTCTCGCAAATTCTCGCATCAACAGTCCATCTTGGCAGAGGCTCCTTTTGTGGTCCGCACCACGCCTGCCAGCTCTTCTCTGTCTCTCTCTCTCTTTCTCGGTTTCTCTGTCTCTGTCTCTGTCTCTCTCTCTCTCTCGTTCTTTCCTTCTCTCTCACTGCCATGTGCTCACTCTCTCCCGCAAGCTTCTGCTTTTGCTTCCTCTTCCCTGAGTTCAATGTCACACGTAAAGGGAGAAATATCAGATTTTTGTTTCAGGGCCCCCAGCAATGATAGGCTGAAAAGAGTTTCTGATCTTGGCCACTTCTGCTGTGCACAGATGCCCAAAGCCTTTGTTGTACCACTCCGGGGAGTGACCCCTGTGGGGAGAAAAAGCAGACAGGAGGTGAAAATGTCATTTTCCCAATCAGTCTGTCCCGGCACACGAGATCTGTGCTTATGCTTTTGTGTTTGGTATATTTGCAAAGGGCTCCAGCATCCCAGCTCCAGGGTCTGAGAACCCCATCTGTCATCAGCTACTCTGAAAATGTCTTTGCTGTTGAGCATATGTGATGTCTTTTCAGTCCTAACCAGGAAACCCGGTGGTATTGGGGTTAAGGCATTCAGCCACCAAGCAAAGGGTCAGTTGTTCAAACCCACCAGCTACCCCATGGGAAAAAGATGCACCAGTGCGCTTCCTTAAAGATCTCCAGTGGATATTTAAAGTGGAATCACCAGTCATTCTTCTGCTTCGCAGCCGAGTGTGTGGACTGGAAATCCCAGGGGGCAGCTCTATGCCCTCACATAGGGACATTATCACTGAGAATCAACACTCTTGTAATAATTTTGCTGGCTTTTTCCTCTCACAATCTTTACGGAGCAGATCACAGGTCTTTCTCTTCCCAAGCTGCCAGTGGGTCTGATCTGGCCCTCCCTGGTTAGCAGCTGCGTGCTTCTCTGGCCCCACCAGATGCGGTAGAACAAAATGCTTGTTGGCACGATGGCTACACGTGGCTGCCGACTGAGATGGTAGCAGCCTGAGCCCACCATGGGACGCGGATGAGGTGGGTTGCTTCCAGAGATGGCAGCCTTCAAGTCCCTGGGGGGCTACTCTGCTCTGTCCTCACTTGGAGTTGGGCGGATGGCAGTGGGTTTCAGGTTTCAGTGTGCATCACACACTTGGAAGGGCGTGAACTCTTTAGGGTCGAAGGAGAAGCGTCAGACTGGAGATATGATTTACTGAGAACAATTACCTAATACCCAAGCAGCCCAAGGTTTTGATTAAGCAAAAGGAATGTCTAGAAGGTGTATTTCTTCTTGAAGGAAGGTGAGTGGAGAAAGCAGCCCGAGGTGGTGGGAGTCAGCAGCACAGGAGGGAAGTGGGCCCGCAGCACACGCTAACATCTGTGCTCGTCTGTGCGTCCACTGAGGGAATGCAGGTGGGGCCCGAGTGACGGCAGACCAGCTGGGTGCAGCTGATTCTGCCTCAGCTGACCCCCTGCGTGTCAGAGGACAGCTGCCCTCTCAGTGCTCAGTGGACGTGCTCATCAGAAGACCCCCAACCCTCCAGGTGGACCTGAAGCACCAACCTTTCTTCTGTTTAGCAGCTAAGATGTGAGCTGTTTGCACCACATGGGCACAAGGGCCCTGGTGGCACAGCGGATGAAGTGCCAGGCTGCTAACTGAACAGATCTCTGGGGCTGCTCTGAGCTGGAAGGAACTCAACAGTCATGGGGTTTAGGTGTATCTTCTTAGATCTACCAGAGCTGTAGTAGCACTGAGGTGAAGGCATTCAGTGGCTAAACAAGAAGTCAGAGGTTCAAACCCACCAGTGGCTCGGTGGGAGAATTAGGAACCAAATCTGCTTCCACAGAAAGGACAGCCTTGGAGGCTTCTCGGTTGTCGTGACTCTAATAGCGGGGGCTGGGACTTTTAAAGTGAAAATGAAAAAGCTGAAGGCTGGAGGGAGAATGTGAGAGAATCAGAAATTTCAGGGTGGGAGGAGAGACGGGAAAATGGCAAGTCCTCATGCACGGAGGCAGGAGATAGCAGCGGGAGAAAGTGCAGTGGGACAGGAGGAAGTTCCTCACCGTGTGTGTGCACACGTGTGTTTGTGCAAGCATGGCATACCCAACATCCTGAGTGTCCCGGGGGGTGGCCTCACACCCACACAAAGTATCATGGAAGTGAGCGCCTTCCACGGCCCTTCAGTGCAGCCAGGACCCGTGCTCAGGACCATCGCCTTGGAAAGAGTCTCTCTACGCCCATGGTGAGTGGACATGGACTCCTAGTGGCCCTGGAGGGCAGCGTGCGTCTGCACCAGCGTGTTTCCAAGGCCGTGATTTGTATCTGAGCAGGTGGACGGTGTCATCCTTCTCCCAAGGGTGACTGGTTCGAATCACTAACCTTCTGGTAAGAAGCCCAATGCTTAACCCATTACGCCACTAGGGCTCCTGGTGAAGGATACAGACGTAGTGCAACTCCAGGCCTGCCCCCTAACACTCTGTAGGCACAGATAACGCTGGTGCTGGCCGAGGCCAGGTGGTCCAAAGAGTTACAACACCTCTCACGAGAGCTTGTCTGAGCGTGAGGCCAAGAGGATGGTGGAAAAGATAGATGGAGGGAGGCGTGTTCCCCAAGACGCTGGAACGCTTGGCTTTGAGCGCCCGGCATACGTTCTTCCTGGAATTTCAGCTAAGGAAGCCCACCAACGAAACCATGCATGACATCGATTCCACCTCGCAGAGGCCCCACAGGACAGAGCCCAGCCGCCCACAGTGCCCACGGGCGTCCCCTGGACACAAGCACTCTGCCTTCCCCCTCTCCTACACAGCAGCGAGTGGGTTTGAAGCGCTAACTTTCCAGCTGGAAGCTACCTCACCACCAGGCTTTCTGAAATGAGCTAATATGTTACTAATATTATTAGGGAAGTGGAGTCCTCAGAATGTCTAGGAGAGCCACCTGCCCCCCACTAGTCCCCTGGTCCTGGGAGCTCACATTTACCTGAGGTCGACCCTACAGATGTGGGTCAGTCTGGACTTTCCGGAGCCGCATGGTTCTATCAGGTACTGTGAGTCCATCATGACCGCACGCACGCCACCCATCAGCTGGGCTTCCTCATACTGGATGGACAAGGACACCAGCACGCATGTCCCCTTGGGCAGATCCGTCCTCCAGGTCCTGTGGTGAAATGACCCGCGGAGCGTGGTGAGGAAGGTCAGTGCAGAGAAGCTCAGTGCGCAGACAGACAGACAGGCACACTTAGTGCCACAGGCCAGGGCTTGGGATCCAAGCAGTTACTGGGATAACCAGGGTTCAAGCTCCAGTCCCTGGTACTGGGATAACAGTGCTGGTTCCCACAGGAGCTCGGGTCACCCAGTGGTCAGGCACTCAGCTGCTCAGTTAAAGGTTGAAGGTTCAAACCCACCAGGGCTCTTAGGAGAGAGACCTGATATTCTGCTCCCATAGAGGTGAACAAGTCTATGGGCCCTGAGCTGGTTCTGGCTTACGACAACCTCCCTGACCTCCCAAGGTTGACATCTCTTCGGGAGGAGAGGGACTCATCTCTCTCCAGTGGGGCAGTTGGTGGATTCGAACAGCCAAGTTTTCATCCAACCAGCCTTTCAGTGAGCAGTATGCAATACACTGCGGCCCCAAGGCTCCTCCCTGTAAAAGGACCTTCTTGGAAACCCCCTCAGGCAGCTCTGCCCTGTCTTGTCAGGTTGCTAGGAGTCAGGTTGGCTTGACAGCAATGCGTTTGTTTTGGAACAGTTTCCTTGGGTTCTTGTGTGGTGCAAACAGCTGACACATTTGCCTGGTTTAATCCCTGAGACGCCAGGTTTAAAATAATCTTGAAACTATCCCCAGAAGTCTTCTCTAGATTATTCTACCTTTATAATGAGGTGTGTGGTCCTTGAGCACTGGGAATGATCTCTGTGGGGCCCACTGCCAAAAACTCCAAAGTGAGTGGAGAACTCAAGTGTGTGAGTCTACATCAGTGATGGTGGAATTTGGAGGTGATGGTGGGAAGCTTTGCACAGCGTGGAGAATGGGGTCAGTGCCCCTGGCTTGGGAGGCAGGCAGGGAGGAGTGTGACAGTGTATAATTTCACAAAAGAAGGACAGAGTGATTGAATTCTATTTCATTCAGGCCCTTCAGAAGCTGCCATCACTGGTTGTTCTGATGGGACACTACTGAGTCATAGACCAATTCTATGCAGCAAACTTCATGTGAGTGTTTGAGACACCCTGCTTCCAAGTCAGCAGGGACTGGGAGTCACCCAGGAACCGACTAGAGGTGGGATTTCAGCATGCACCCAAGACTCAGCAGCCCAGTAAAATCTCAGGCCACCCAGGAGGCCAACCACATTCCAGACCTTGCAGGCCGTGCCAAGGCCTGTGACCATGGCGATTAGAGGTGGACATTTGTGTTTGCTCACATGGGGCGTTTGTCACAGACACTCAAATCTTGTGAGTTATACAAACCAAGCATACGCCCTCTTGCGGGACCACAGAGGTAAGGGGAAGCCAGTCACTCCGGCTCCAGTTGCTAATTGTACAGCAAGGGCAGGGGACAGACGGCAGCCCTAAGGTGAAGGAACTGACGCTATGCAGAGCCCACCAGGCACTCGTGGGATGGAGTGACCAGCAGCTGCCACCACGGCCTGGGGCTCAGTAGAGACTGTGAGGATGGCACAGGGCTGGGCAGGGTGTCCTCTGGTTGGGCGCAGGGTTACCGTGAGTTATGCGGGCTCAATGGCACCTGATAATTAGAGATAAACTGTGTGCCAAGTGGGAGTGGGGCCCAGAGACCCTGGCAGAGCTCTAAGCTGCTGGGAGAGGAGGAGTGAGCACACACACAGGGCCAGGCTTCCTGGGGGTGCATCTGGGGCTGCGAGGCCCTCAGGGCGTCTGTGTGGGTAGGGGAGCTGTGACTCGCAGAGGACCCCCACCTGGGCTGCAGGCTCACCTGAGGACCACAAAGTCCCGGGGAGGGTGGGGTGCCATGCTGGTGAGCATGTACTGGTAGACCTCGGTGTGCTTGTCCAGTGCTTCGAGCACCTTCCACTGCATGAAGTCCTCGTCCCACACGTGCCGCTCCCGCAGCACCCGGTTCAGCACCACGCACGGGGGAGCCTCCACCTCCACGGACGCCTTCCACAGCTTCAGCGGGTGCCCGTCTCCCACCTGGGAAAGAGTGTCCAAGGGCCAGCTCAGAGGTGACCTGGCTCCCCCAGAAGCCACTCGTGTCTCCAGGCACTGCCCAGACCACCTGCTAGTTAACAGTCATGAGGAGTCTTGCTCAGCATTGGTGAAAATGCTCAGCTGCCCACTGAAGGCCAGCAGTTTGAATTCACCACCTGCCCATGGGAGAAACTTTACGGGGGCAGCTCTACTTGGTCTTAGGGACCCCCTGAGCCAGCTCTTCAGGACCCCCTAAGTCAGGTCTTAGGGTCCCCACATGTCAGGTCTACGGACTCCATGTGTCAGGTCTTAGGGACCCCATGAGTTAGGTCTTAGGGACCCCGAGTCAGGTCTTAGGGACCCCGTGAGTCACAAACAGCTCAAGGGCAATGGATCGGGTTGGGTTTGGGTTCTGAGGATGCATCATGGCAGCCACGCTGTGACCATGAGGTGACCTTGGAGATGGGGGCAGTGGCAAGGACAGCAGAGTGGAAGGACAGAAACAGTGTGAGAGGCAGATGGGTAAGGAGCTGCCATGCCAGTCTTGGGTTCCCTGATGGCAGCCTCACCATGGTGTGCAGGACGCTAAGCCCTTAGCAGCTAATCCTTCCAGAAAAGAGATGACAGTCCCTGCTGCCCAGAAGATGAAGCCCCTCAGGAAGGTCTGCTCGGTCCCACAGTCCTACAGGCTCCATCCCACAGGCTCTGTCCTACAGGCTCCATCCCACAGGCTCCATCCCACAGGCTCCATCCCACAGGCTCCGTCCTACAGGCTCCATCCCACAGGCTCCGTCCTACAG